CCCCAAAACCCCAAAACCCCAAAACCCCAAAACCCCTTTTTATTGGTCATTTGTTGAAATGAAAAATACTTCAGACCATTAATCTTTCACTAAGACGAATCTCTTATTAATAATGATTTGAATATCTCATAGGTTCCCCAAGATATTGCAACTCCTGGGGAAACAAAAAGTACTCTCGGCAAGACACCTTTGTAGAATCCAAAAATTCCTTCAGTCCTATAAATCTGCTTAATTGCATGCCTTATATCCCGATACTTGGCGTCTCTAAGGACCTCAGACCCTTCCACTTCAAGCCTGCCTCCAAGCTTCTCGGCTTCCAGCTTCATCGCTTCTTTGTCAAGTTTGCCCAGAGACGAACTGTGGTGCTGAGTCTGCAGCCTGGTTTTTATGACGTCCATCGGGTTTGTGAGGAAGGACGCCATCATTCCGGCAGCGAAGGCTCAGCCAAAATAAATGAATATTGGGTGCTTGTGCTCCTTTGGCTTTGCAAAAACTTTGATATTCTCATTAGCAGATACAATAGTGAATGCAAAAGGTACGTTCATCAATAATGTTACAGGGTAGCTTCGAAACAATGCCTTGGTTCCTTCCTGTCTAATTGTTTTCTTTCATCAATCCCAAGTACTCTGACCAGTCAGTTGCATTCTCTGCTTGACTCAGTCCGAGGGAGTGAGGAAAGCATCATGGGATATCGTAGCTAAGGCACCAATAATTCCGGAAACAAGAAAATGAGTATTGCCATCATCAATGCCAAATTTTTCTTTTGCGATCTCATATGTAGCAAAATAACATGCATGGGCTGGGATTCAGCCTGAAGCAATGACATTTACCCCTTTATAGAGCCTAAGAATCCCATTTTCCTTATATAATTCTGCTGTAGTTCTGAATATCCCCATCTTTTGAGTGGATGCTTGAATATGAGTTTTGATTGTATCAAATGGGAACATGCCTCAGTGCTCCATTACACCGGCTCAGGATCCTGCTATCATGTGCTTGACAAATGAAAACTCTTTTGGGCGTGAGTCTTCCCAGTCTAGTATATCCACGCCATAGTCTTTATCGCTCATTTCTTCGGAAATAAACATTCTTATAATATTAACAATTATGTCACAAACGAGTGGGGTTTTGGGGTTTTGGGGTTTTGGGGTTTTGGGGTTTTGGGGTTTTGGGGTTTTGGGG